TCATCCACTGGGAGTTGGAGGAGTGGAATTTTCTTTTTGAGACAATGTGCAGTGGTTTAGGTTTATTGCCTGTTTTTGCCACACATACATTGTACTCTGGGGTCTTAAGTTTCCAAAGACAAGTAAAACTTCAGCAGAAACTATGTTAAAAATTTCTGTAAATATTTAGACATTTCTACCACAATTTACATAAATCGGTACGTTTTTTCTGCTGCAGTTAAAAGTTTTGAACTATGGTCCAATAAAATTTAATAATGATGGGATCACTCGAGTGAAAAATACTCGGTCACTCGATTATTCTAATTCTCAGTATGTCTCGAGGATTTTTGTCGATCCTCGAGGATAACTCAGTCACAACACGCTGAATCGAAAATACAAGGCAATTTTACGCTGCTTCAAATGAAAACAAGCAATTCCCCAAATTACTTGTTTTCATTTGACCTTAAAGATTGCCAGATTAAAACTCAAAATCAGAGTTAAAGAAACAAAAAGCACGTTCTTAAGCGCAACCTATGAAAATTTTATTTCTCAGATCAAATTATACACACGAAAATATAAAAAACTATTAAAACCCTATTTAAAATATGTAATTATTTATTTTTTTACAATATACAATATAATTCGTTTTATATTATTATTTATTTGTTTCGGTTTCTCAGATACATGCTAACAATATATGAACAAACAACAAGCAAAACGCACCGAATATTATTGGGGTATCGATCGATAGATAAAATTCTATGGCCGAGGATTCCTCGGATAATCATCCCATTATTGGAATCCTCGAGGATCAATACTCGAGGATTGAAATCATCCGAATATTCCCAACACTAGAATTTAACTAACAGTGTGGGTGTCCAGCTTAAGAGGCAGCATCGGTCGAAACAATTTAGATTTAAAACCCCGTAGGATCTTTACAGAACTTTCCGGACTTCCCATGTATTTCGCAGGAGCGAACCCGATAGTAAAATCATCGTGCGAGCATATTTCGAATTCCTAACGGACGTCTAATGCAACTCTCGACCTTTCTACAATTCTACACCGCTCGCCTTGAATCTAAACGGCGACAAGCCACCATTTTCATGAAAAAATCGCATTTAACCTACAAATCGACAGCCTTTAATCCACCTGATGAATCAAACCGGAGCGTTTGAAAAATTCAGCGCTCGTTTGTTTTCGTTTTCCTTTTCTTACGTGAACCATTCGAAGGTTATTCGACGGCTTACGATATTTTTTCGTGTAGTCATTTTTAGCGTCTGTCTCTATCTTTATTTCATTAATATTTACGATTTCCCAACTCGTTATTGGTAATAGACTTAATCGTTTGGAGAATAGAAACGATGCTTTATTGGGTAATTTGGAATTTACAAGTTTTCTTTAACTGTAAAATAATGCATGAATCTGTTAAAAGCTATTTTGCAGTTAGTTCATTAGTGTAGATTAAATTTTTAATAAATCGAAACCAAACCCAGAACGGTTAAATATTTACGGCACTATTTAAACCTTTGTAAAATGTTTAACTTTAAGAATTAGGCCTCGCCGCGCCATTTACCTTTAAGTTAGGGTACCAATATGCAACTGTTAAAGGCGCACTTGATTTTATCAAGTATTGTTCCTACCAGCGGGGGCTAAAGTTTCATTGGGGTCTGTGTGGCACCACCACGCCAAGAATGTTACATTATTAGAATGGTGGGTAGTCTAAAAGGTGTGCCTCACTGGGACACTAATTTTGAGGAAGCATTAATTGAGTGGTTTGATGAACTTAAAGAGGCTTAAGTGAAGACCATCAAGACATTGATTTTTCTCCGAAGAGTAACCATAACTCCGATTCTGAATCTCTTACTTATAGAAGAGAGATTGAATAATCAATACCAGAAAAGAAAGAGATGTGGTATATGGCAACCATATGTCAATGAAGAAATGACAAAAAACAAAAATCTCATGAATCAAATGTGCACGATACATGTGCGTCAAATGCAGATCCTGTATTAGCATGAACTGTATTTGAAAAAGTTATGTACATTCAATGGTGCCCGGTGGCGTAGAGGTACAGGCTCTAGTCTATCAATCTCAAGGTGTGGGTTCGATTCCCACACCCGGCATGTCATCAACCGACTATTTTTATTAAAATAAAAATAGTTTGGGTACCTAGGTCGACTCAGCCTTAAATGAGTACTTGGGATTCACAATCCTGAGGTAATAATAGGCGGTTGAAGCGTAGTGCTAGCTACATTACCTTCCTTGTATACCGAACGGCTCTAGTATAGCAAGCTGTACCTTGCTACTCCCAAGGCTTTAAACGCTATATACGGGAGCTATTACTATTATATGTACATTCAAGACTTGCAGTTTAGTGTAAATGTAGATTGTGCTAAATTGGCCAAAGAATTTGCGCTCAATTTTCATCAAAAACATAATAGTAAAAGCGTACATAGATATGTGTTATACATTCAGGTGCCTACTTCATCAAAGTGGGCTAGATTTTTGGGAAATAAATTAATTAAGTTACTTTCAGCGAATCAAAAATATACAGGGTGTCCCGATTTTTCTGATGATAACTACTAAAGTATTAATTTTAAAAAATATATGTACAATGTAGATCGTTAAGGAGGGGGGTTAATCACCGTCACCTTACAGATCTATTGTGTGTTCTTGAGTTATAACTCATCATACAGACTCAGGACTTTGACAAAAGCCAGTATCTGAGACGGCTTCACAGACGCCAGCTTTCCATCTTCGACATCAGCCGTACCAAAGTTTATGGCACGAATTGTCGTCCGAGTCGCCCATCTTGCCGAGCCTTCTTCTTCTTGCTCTCGCAATATAAGGTGTTCTGGTGTTTCCCCATTTTCCCCACAGAATCTGCATTCGCTGTTATTTCTCAGCTTCAATCCACTAAGGTGTTCGTTGAGGAGACAATGTCCTGTTGGAAACCCCGTGACAATCCGAAAATTGTTTTTACTTAAATCAAGGAAAATCTTCGATTTTTCTCGGTCGTAAGTTTTGAGGAACTTTTACAAGTGTTTTAAACCGTTGGAGGATTCTTCATATTCTTCAGTTCCGCTTTAAGTTGGTTTTCCCTTGGGATGCAGAACGGTTCTGGTCCAGTTAGTGGGAATGTTCGCTCCTTTTCAAGCTAGATCGTTTGCTGTTTCATTGCCTTCTATCCCTTGGTGAGCGGGTACACAGAGTAAGAGGACTTTATTTTCTTTATCTAATTTGTTCAGCTTCTCTAGGCATTCTTTGGCCAACTTCGAATTGATGATTACTGAGTAGATCGCTTTTAGTACTGCTTGACTATCGGATAAGATAATTATTCCCATTATTATGTAATCTATTTTAGATCTTATCTGGATGTTGAGGTAGGTTGGGATAGGTCCCCAAAAATAAGCACAAGTATATATCTTGAACCATTTAACTCTACGTGAAAGGTGCTTTGAAAACATTTTCGTAGAAACAGAAAATTCTTTTTGGATAATATCACACAGGGTGCCTTCATGTTTCCCCCGAGAGATCATGACTATGTCATCTGCATACCCAATGCAGTGTATTCCCGCTAGAGTTAATTCATCTAGTAGTTCATCAACTACCAAGCTCCACAGCAAAGGGGAGGTTACTCCACCTTCCTTGGTGTTCCTTGCGTATATAACTTATTCGTATACTTCCCTACAATATTCAAATGTTCAAACCATCAGGCATAATGGTCTCCTTGCGATGTGCCTCAATCGTAATTACCAATTTTCGATTTTGTTTGCAGGAACAAAATACGAAATATTTGTTTTTATTTGTGTAATATAAATTTTAAAATTATACATAATTTATTTAACACTTTTCATTATTTTCTATCTCTTTTTGTTATAAGAATTCAAACACAAAAGTTAGGAAATTAAACAGGCAGAGTTCTGAGAGCAATGATGCTCGTGATGGCATATGTTCCACCTATATCTGAAGATATGGATGGCTTTTTATACATCTGTCGTATTAACCTATAATGCAGAATGACAAAATTAGTGGTAGACATTTTCAAATATTAGAAAAAGTTATCAAACTTTTAAGCTTCATTCAGAATCTCGCAATTAGTGGAATAAATTAGTGGTTTCAATTAGCGTAGAAGTTTATTCCTTTAATTGCAATGTAGGCATTCAGAACGTCAAAATTATTGATAGACATTTTCAATTAGTAGAAAAAGTTATCAAACTTTTGATTTTTCCACTAATTATACTTCAAAATTTGCGACAAATGTCATTTTTTTATTTAACGTCAATTTTCGAAAAACACCTTGTTCCTCTGAAACGGTAACAGATATCAGTGTGCGGTTTTTACTGTTAGTACACACCAACATTAGGACACCGACATTAATTTTCACCTTTCACCTACCACCTTTAGAAAGGGGAGCTTGCCTTTAAGAATGTCCAATTTGGCCCACCCTGTACATATTGAATTAAGGCTGTCATAGATATTACCATAAGTGTTACAAGATAGAACAGATCAAGGTAGTATCGATTATAAGAAAACTGGTAAAGCCAATACTAAGAGGACATTATAATTATTACGATAGCAATGAAAACATCGATTTAAAGCAGTACCAAGGTCGTAAGTGGGCTCATTATCGAATTTACAACTTTTGAAGTATATAACATCCAAATATTATATTTTAGAGGTGTTTTCAAGTGCTTCAAGTAACTGTTCATACGCCAAATAATTTACATAAGTTTACATATTTCTAAAATAATATAATTCCTCGCTTTCTGCAATCTTCACAATTGTCTTAATTGTATTTACCATTATTATATTCGAGCGAACTAGTCCATATCTTCGTAATTGCATACTGAAGATCGTTTATTATACCATAAATAGACATTTAGTTCATTTTTACTGTGAATACCGGTTAGAACAATGGTATACTGTAATAATCACATATCGCGCAAGAGATGTTTCTCAAACTTTTAATTCTTTTCCTCAAGCATTTTAATTTTTTTTTTACTTTTTTGTTATTCTAGGAAATGTAAAGACATCGTTTTTATCGGGCAGCAAGTTTAATGTCAGCTGGCATCTAGGGTATCCTCACAAAGTAAGTTTTGTCTTCATACAGGGTGTTTCAAAAAACATGTACCATCTCTCCTGGGAGATTTTTCACGTAAAAATAAGATATATTTTTCATATCAACATTGGCCCGATTCTGCTTTGTTTTGTGGTTATAGAGGATTAAGTTTTAATTTTTTTTCGATTTATTATAATTTTCTTCCACGCGCCTTTAGCGATTCGAATGAGATTTAGAGAAAGAAGACTACATTAAATATAATAAATTCATCAGTGACGTGCATATAGGCAATCGCAAGAAAAAAAATCTAAAAAACATGTGTGCTTAACTGATTTTTTCCCTTAATTAATTAAAATTATGTAGGCCGTTTAATGCCGTTTATAAGTTTTCTCTTGATATTTTGTCAATTATTTCGATCTCCTTGATTTTATAAATAAATGCAATTTTATTAATTCGCCTTTTGTAATTATCTTAATTACCATTATTTTTGTGGAATTTGTTGTAGGTAGCACTTAAAATCAGTGTTATAAATTTTAATTAATTAATTTAATAAATAATTTATTTATTTTATTTTAATTTAATTGAGATTAATAAAATTATCTCATTAGGGAGATTGAAATCGACAAAATATCAAAATACAACTTTTAATCGTCATTAAACGGCCTACACAATTATATAGCACGAGAAAAAAGAGTTAGTCTCGTACTAAAATTATATTAAATCGAAAAAAAAAGAAGACTTTAACCCTCTGTAGTACGAACCTCGAAAATCGAAGCATCTCGCCACAAGAGATGGCACATGATTTTTGAAAGACCCTGTATTTTAATAAGACTCTCCCAGTAAATATAGAAATAAAAAAATTATTGTAATCCCAATAATTGTAAATATCTTAAATTTTAGGGGGGATTCAAACTACAACTTTTGGACCAGTTAGAACGACCTGTTTTAGACTTAACACCCAGCGTTCAGGGTTCGGAATTCATCTCAAATGATGCTACGTAAGTTCTAGTAGATAACTATACAGGATGAGTCTTAAATAAGTGGATGAGTCTTAAATAAATTCTTAGGGGTAGTATATTTATTTACCCCAGAAACAGGTCTATGAGGGTTTTTTTCGTGAACAAAAAAAAAATTTAAATGTATTTTTCGGCAAATGTTTGAAAAATATATGTCTTATCTATATTAGTCCAGTCCTCAAAATATTTGCACTTATTTAAGATTCAACCTGTATATAAAGTCGAACATGCACCCAACAGTATACGCTTAACCCTAACATGATCCTAACCACAGTTCCTAAATATGTTTAAGATTCTAATTAAACAAATAAAGAGACAGAAATCGTTAGGACCTATGGTTAGGACTCCGCGTAATATTAGTGGACTATCGTCTAACAAGTTATTGTTTTGTCAAAAACCATTCACAAAAAACATTTTTTGGATTCCAGAGCTCAAACTTACGCTGTGGAACTACCTCCTGACTTTACATGCATCAACTGTACCCTGAGATTGATCAGACAAGCTCTAGAATGGGGTGTGGGGTACAAATTTTGGTCTTGTGCAGATGTAGATATAAAAATACGTAAAAAACATTATTAAAGTTAAAAAATGTTGTTTAATGTTTGTTTTCCTTTCTAGGGAAAGAGTTTAGAGAAAACTGCGGTGGTCACGGAAGATATCTACTTGGAAAATGTAAATGTGATCGATTATATTATGGCTCTGTGTGCCAGTTTAGAGATGAATGTTTAGAAAATAGTGATTGTGGTTCGCAGGGTATATGTGTGGATATAGACGCAACTACTGCACCTAGAAAACAATGTTACTGTCAATTGGGATATTTTGGACCTGGTTGTACTAGAAGTACGTGCCATTCTTGACTATAACATTTTTTTCTATACCTCAATATAACAGATTTTTAAATATAGATTATTTCTTTATTGTCTCATCAATATTCTGTCTAATCTAGGATCACCAGTTAAATCAACGGAAATAGACTTCGACTTATACACAGAAAAAAAATTATCTGACACTTTTACGCTGTACTGGAGGATTCTTAAGGAACACAAAGAACTGGAGGCTGTCATGGTGGTCAATGGTACCAGTTATGCTGCCTTAGGGTGGAGACCAAGAAGCTTGACTAAAAGCTGCAAAAACTTTCCTCAAATAGGGCCTGTAGAGGTAGTAACTACTACACCTTCAACGACACAACCTGAACCTGAACCCAAGAGTGAGCCTGAACCATCCTCTGAACCTACTACAGAATATGAACCAACGGTATTTGACTTTTTCTTAACTGTGAATCTATACATTTTATCAATAAATCAAAATATCGATATCTATGGTTATATAATCGATTATTTTATAAGTATTAACTTCCCTAACGCTGAAATTAAAGATATCAGATACTAGGCATCAATTACAGAGTGAGCCAGAACCAAATGCTGTAGAAACTGAAAGGAAATCGACTTATAACAGGAGATCTGCACTTCTTCCTTCACCTGCACTGCCATATCAGGATGTCGATAAAGTAGAGACCAGCGTTTCATATAAAGTCAGCAGTAGCCAAGGTAAATGCTTAAATAATCGTGTATTTCAAAAATAATTAAATGTTTTAATTTTTTAATTTAATATTTTGTGTTGTAGGAAGAAGAAAAAGAGAAACATCGGGTAAGCTAAAATAACAACTATAAAAATAAAAAATCTGTAGTGTAATATATTAAAAAAAAATTTATTGCTGTATATCTGCTTACAAAACAGAACTTTGAAGAGCTATAGGTATAAAAGTATAATATATGTCATCAATAGAATAGAAACAATCCTTTATAGCCAAAAAAATCACAGACTATTGGAAATTATTGTAAATATATAAAAGAAATAGTCACACAAGAAGCATGTTGCAAAAAGTTTAGTTTTAGATTTTAGACTGTTAAAATAAGAAAAATAACCCTTAATTTGAATGCGGTTGCCTATTATTGATCAAGGTGTCGGTTTTTTACTTTAGAATCAACACCATCAGCAGAACCAGAACCTCGCTCGGAACCCGAACCCACCTCTGAACCGAAATCCGTACCCGAACCTACTTCAGAACCTAAATCAGAACCCGAACCTACCTCAGAGCCTAATTCCGAGCCTGAACCTAATCTTGAGACCAAATCTGAACCTGAGCCTATCACCGAACCTACAGCGGAACCCATATCCGAACCTGTACCTAAATCCGAACCTGAGCCTAGCTCAGAGCCTGAACCTACATCAGAACCAAAATCTCAGCCTAAACCTAATCCTGAACCCAAATCCGAGCCTGAACCTAATCCTGAACCAAAATCCGAGCCTGAGACTAATCCTGAACCAAAATTCGAGCCTGAGCCTAATCCTGAACCCAAATCCGAACCTGAGCCTAATCCTGAACCCAAATCTGAACCCGAGCCTAGTTCAGAACCTACTGCGGAACCTAATAAAAGCACGCACGTTAATGTAGTGTCGGCAGCACCTAAGGTCGAAGATGGAGCAGGTAATTTTAGGAAATATATTGGTGATTTTGGATTTGGTGACATAAATTTATAATGTATTTATTAAATTTAGCTGAGAATTTGAACGCATATACGCCAAGGCACGATTTTAATCCGATGGATTGTACTGATATCATTATTGGATCTGCTAGAGGAACAGCCAGTAGAATTGGAGATTATTACACGAGGGATAGGTATAGTTTTATTTGTCTAAATAAGTCTTCAATTTCCCTATTATTAAATAAAAGTATTAGATTTATAATCAAGAATTTCGTAAAAAAAATTTTGATCCATATAGAATATGTAGTAATGTAGCAAAATATAAGCCTTTAACTGACTGACTGAAAGCTTTTCTTTTTATAAATTTATGATTAATAGATCCACACCAAGAATGGACAACTTCTGGGGTGGCAAAAACGACCTTACTGCAGCTCTAGGTTTCGAAAAAGACGGTATTACCACCATCCTGTTCAGAAAGAAACTTGAAGCTAAAGAACCTAGCGATCACACCATCGAAGAGGATCTGATGCATGTCATCTTTGCTCAAGGCCAGGAAAAGGGCAAATATGTGCATATTCCTAAATCTGGTGTTGAAACGTCACAGGTTTCGGAAAAAGACTTCTACAAACCTGACGAGTTGAAGTATCACGGACACGAAAGTCAGAGAGGAGTAATCAGTCTAAATTTCTTCGGTATGACTCCTATTAACCTTAACAATATTTTTTTTAAACAGTCGACCCTTTTTTTACCTATATTAAATATATGGCTTTTCTGAGTTTTGATATATTTCTTATTGTCTTTCAGAAGATAAGAAAGTGATAATGGCAGCAGGTACAGCAGCAACCAGTGATTCTGCACAAAACACTGATTGCGGTGGGGAATGGAAGATTCCCAAAGGTTGCAGCCCTGAGAACTTAACTTGCGAGTATAGTGCTAAATGGGAGTTGATTCCTAGGAAAGACGAAATTAGATTCACACTGACCACCAGCAACACTGACACTTGGACAGGCATAGCGTTTTCAAACGATGAAAAAATGTCCCAGACAGACGCTGTACTTGGTTGGGTGGACAAAACTGGCAGGCCCTTCCTAATGGACACCTGGATATCTGGGTACACGCAGCCATTCTTAGATTCAAATCAAAATATATACAACACCAGTGGTAAGAACTTTTATCTCATTTGCTTGAAACTTGCACTTTCTTTAATGTTTAATTTTGTAGGTCGTATTGAGAATGGTGTCACTACATTATCCTTCACTAGAAAACGCATCACCAACGATCCTAGGGATCTAGACTTCACTGATGATAGATGCCTGTTCATGATGTTTCCTGTAAAGGGTGGTGCTTTCAATAGCGTTAACAAAAAAATCCGCAAGCACGAGGTATTACCCGTGGTCAGCACTGAAAGAATATGCATCAAATCTTGTGGCAACGGTAAGTATTAATAACTATATTCTCTTTTTAACACTTATTTCCCTAGGGTGTGGTCTCTTCTGTTATCTTTCTATGTGTTATTTTCGGCAATCTAAGACGTATATAGTTACGTTTTTCCAGATCTCGACTTAACGAAATCAACTCTTTCTCCTATAACTGTCACTGTTACAGAAGAAGAAACTTCTATAACTGCAGAGGTGACTACAATCTTTTCGTCGAATCCTGAGACAGAAGATACCACACTCAAACACCACTAATATCTTCAACAACACCAAGATATAAATATAAATGTAACGGCACAAATAAAATTTAACCAAACAAATAATCTTTAAAATCAATCTTTTTATTTTTAGATGACCTCTACGATTATCAGACCACCACTGAATCTCCAGGAATAGATTACAAAGTTCAAGTAAAGGTGGTAGACTTAGGAGAGAACTTTGTACCTCCCAAACCTGGTACTGTACAGTACGATGACCTTAGTAATTCAATTTCAAATAACTTCCAACCGGTGTTTAAAAGTTTGCCTGGATATCGCAGAATCGTCATAGACCAATTAAAAAGGTATGAATTTTTTAACAATTTCTTAGTCGTGTTATATAATAACAATATGTGTATCACATCCCTTGAAATTGCGGAAATTTTGTAATGTAAAGTCTATACAGCAAAAGAAGGAACGAGTTTGACATATAACATAGAATAATTGACAAAACACACAATTTATTTTTAAATAAAAATGACAGATCATATTATGTTCTGTCTTCGGTCATTCAATTTCTATAATTTATTTTGATGGTTGGTATTTAATTTATGATGTTGATGAAGGACTTTTACATATCCTGTATGTCATGTTTAATATTATTTTTAAATATTCTTTTTATTTATAATTTGTTCCTTTTTTAGCGAAAGCAACGATATAGTGGCTATTATGAATGTACAACTTGATAAAGCTGTTCTAGAAAAAGGCAGAGCTTTATCATCCTCAGACATGAAGAACACAGATGAACAAGTTCATAAAATTGTACAAGAAAGTGTAGGATCAGGAAGAGTGGGGAACTTGAAAGTGGATCCCCAATACCTTGTATTCGAACCTCAGAGTCGTAAGTTTATTCACTTATTAATGTTATCCAACTCTTCTAACTCTAAATCAAACATGCTTTCATAAGTAAAGATTTAAACTTCTCACTCTGCTTCTCACAAAATCTTCTAACTATTTTTACAAAATCTATCGTTCTAGGTACTACAAACCTCATCCCTGATGCCGATGGCTCAACAATAAGCTCTGGATGGTTCGATATGCCTTCCACCAAGCTGTATATAGTTCTAGGATGTATAGCCGCTTTAGTATTGGTAGCACTGGTGCAAGCAGGCTGTACCGTGTACAAAGCTACAGGTCGCAGGCGTGCTAACCGTCACAAGGTAACGTCTTTGTGAAAATGAAATGACAGGGACACATACAATCGTTCTATATCTATCTGAAAAGTACGTCTATGTCTCTATTATTACGCCTATAAAGGCCGGGTTATCTCCCAGCTAACCAAAGAAAAATTAAGAACAATATATTATTTTGGTTAGTCTTGTTTTGATATTTGATATTGTGGGTGGTAGACCTGATTATGGAAAAAATATCTCTAAATATTAGTCGTACATTTTATAAATTATATATAATTAATTTTTACTCCTAATTATTTCCAATATAAATAACTGAAACAAAATGATTTAATAATAAATGTAGGAGTAAGATTGTTATATTAAAATAAGAATAGATTGTTAAATCATAATTAAATAAGTGTCGAAAGCTGAAAAATATCTTGTTTTTAATTTATATGGTGGATTTTAAAGATAGAAATTAGGTCACGGGAGTGCTTCTATAGAGACTCTAGGTCCACACTAAAGACACTGTTAGATCGTTGAAATACCATAAAGGAAGCACCGCTTTCCTTGCTTCCTGAGACTGCACGCCTCTGAGGTTTACATTTTCAAAGTACTTAAATATATTTTTATATATGAAAGAGTTTAGATAAGGTCCTTTTTTGGACCAGAGCCCTTTGGATATCTTATATAGCTACGCCACTGAATATAACTGAAATTAAGAGCTGCTAATTTGAATTGGTTTTTTCGCCATGCAGAGGGTATACAGCGTGCAACTGGATCCCGTGTACTTCCACGAGCCCCACTGGGGTGCCGCCGCTGCCCCTCCGAACTACGAGTACCCAATGCAGTACCACCAGAGAATATGGTAGACACGGCGATCGCCGGTGGGGTGAGTGGCGAGTAAGAGCACGTCTTCCTCTGTACAGTCTGTCTTGTCTTGTTTTACTATGTTATACTTTCCCCCAGCACTCAGGTTGCATCTTAGATTTAATGTACAAAAAGACACAGCATACCTGGTTAAAAACTTCTCCAAAATAAAGGGTCTGGCAATAGTGCGCCGGGCATCTGTAGCTCCTGAAATAAATAAAATCGAAATTGTGTTTTAAGTCCAAACCTAAAGTACGTACTAGGATGTATTTCAGGAAAATATTTCAACTTCTATAGGGTGGCTCAAAAAAGTGTGGATGATTGTTTTTTAAATGGAACACCCTGTATAGTATTGCATTTTTAACTTCTTTTATGATCACTTTGTATAATCCTAAGATATTAGTAAATATGTTTCGATAGTTTCAGAGGTATTAATAAATAAATAACAATATATTTTTTTCAGCCTTTTAAAAAAATATATTAAAAATACAAGAACTGTCCTAAAACCAAAAATATTTTAGGTATTTACTATAGATGATATGTAGTTATTTTGCTATAAATATCGTAATATTAAATCATACAGGATGTTCAAAATTCTACGCCAAACTTTCTAAAATATAAAATAATTTTTCTTCGTTTTTTTAACACAAACACTCTATGTATATTATTTTTTAATTAAATAGAGACTTAAAAAATGAACATTTTTTGTATATAAAATATTTCAAAATTGTTTCCCTGATATTCGCAGTAATATAGTAAATATGGCATTTTCCAGAGGATTTTTTTATCAAAGCTACCTAAAGATTTTTGTCTCTGGTATTTTGTCGTTGAAAGGCTAGATGTAATACTGCGAATATCTGCGAAACCGTAAAAAAATTTGAAATACTTTTAATACAAAAAATGTTCCTTTTACAATTCCCCATCTATTAAAAAACAATACACACAATACATCCATGTTCGATTAAAAAAATACGAATAAAAATTATTTTACATATTAGAAGATTTGGCGTAGAATTTTCATCATCCTGTAGGATTTAAGATTACGATATTTATAATAATAGCATAGTTTTGATTTCAGGACACATTTTATATTTTTAATATTTTTTTTTTTTTAATAAGGGCTGAAGAATTTTTTTTTTCATTTATTTATTTATAATAGCGCTTATCTCTAAAATTATAAAAATGTCTTCTATTTAAAAAAAGTTATCCCGATCCACTCACACTTTTTTAAGCCACCCCGTAGAAATTAAAATATATTCTTCAAACACATTCCTAGTACATACTTTAGGTTTGCGCTTAAACAAAATTCCCAAGTTTTTTTTATTTTAGGATCTACAGATGCCCGACGCACTATTGCTGGACCCTGTATACATAAGAAACCATTGTGTGCTAATTACGTGGACAAACCTTCGAATGCTATTGTAATGGCGTGCTTACAGTTCACTTGATATTTCTTTACGATTATTTTCTATGCGAAAAGCACGACCTGCTGTATCTTTTATGGTACTTTTACATGCTTCTCAAGCCTCAGGAAGTGTCCACAGCACAAGTTGTAGACAGAAATATTTGTCCCCACTTCTGTAAGCTTAAAGAATTTTTCTCACCGTTCCGATGGAGTGTCAGTTTTTAATACAAATCCTCGGAGGCTTATTGACAAGATTGTAAATAATTTCTAAATGCGAGCCTAGGTATTTGTATAATCCTAGAGCTTGTTGGCTAAGCTTGGCAAACATGTAAAGGTAGCATTTAGTATATTTAATCTACCGGTTTAAGGCACAATACACATCCCCTGTAACTAACTCTAACCTTCTTACTGCGCATTGCTCAAACGCGCAGTAAAACATAATACCTAAACTTAGTAAAAGTTTGAATTTTTGATGTTTATGCTGTTTTTAACTATATTATAGTATAATAATCTTGATTTAAAAAATCGCGACATTTGTTAATAAAGGAAATAGAATTCATTGTAAATATCTTATTTGTAAAAAGTCAATGAATGTTTTTTTTATTATTTACTTTGTAAATATCTTGTAACATTTAGTTTTATAAAAAATAGTCATTATAAAGTTTATATATCATATCTCTCTAGCTTTTTTCGATTTGTAGGACCACCTGATACCAAATTCCGCCTGGAAAGACTACTCCTCCAACACCAACTACGCCTTCGACTCTTTTGAACGCGAAGAACCCACCAAAAAGCAACAACATCAACAACACCACCAGCAAAACGGAAATGGTAGGTCCGCGCATCCGCCCCAAAGCAGACCTCGCAGCAATCCGCCTAGACCTCAAGGGCGCCCGCCAAGCGTGCCGCCACAAGGTCATGGGGGAGACTCCAGGTCACTGCAGAGACCTAGAAGCGCGTTATTGCCACCAAATGACCGAAGTACCTTCTCCTTACCTCGCACCCAGTACGACAGGCACACTGTAGGGGCTGCTAAAGGTGGCCAAATGCCAGCAGACTTCTACTTCATGCCATCGCAAAGAAAATACTCGGGAGAGGTAGTCAGGGTGTACGTGGACTATAACGGACAGAAAAGGGAACACTGAGAGCCTCTGCATTTGTACCTTATATAGATATATTGAGAACGTTTGTTGAGATGGGTCTATAAGAGACAGATGTGTTAGAATGTTGTTAGGTTAAATACAAATCGCGATTTTATCGTTAGTTCATATATTTCTAGTCGTTCATTTACCATAATAACAATAATGCACATATTACGGAACTCCTTATGTAAAATAGTACTTTTTGTCGTGGTTAGGAATTAAGTCGTTTTGTTAAAACGACAAGGTTGCAAACTATACTGATGTAGAGTCAGCTATTTATACCTATTTGACATTAGTACAATAAATGAATATATACTCATACGACAGAGGATATTCATAACCAACCAGTCTATAATTAATTTATACAAAGGTAGTAAATTAGAGCTCAATTTTCCTACTTCCATAAACATCTCTATTACAAACTCATATACCTACAGGTTCACAAGTTGTTTCTTAAGTACATAGTCTAAAAAATTTAGGGTGTGATTCCTCAATTGTGATGTATAAGAAAATCTCAAGATATCAATCTTGTTAAAAAGAAATCAAGAAAATGTTTTCCCAAAAAAAAAGCAGTGGCGTAACATTTATTTTAATCAAATTATCCAGAGGTGTGTGCGTACGAACGCCACTGGTTCAAGTAGGAAAACGACAGATAATGGAAATAAACTCCATTTATACCCGGAAACCACATACCAAAATTGAAGGAAATATCGAAATAGTTTTTTATATTTTTTATTTAATTTAGATTTTTTTATATTTTTTAACACCCTGTAGATCCGAAAAGAAGTTTTTTACACCCCATGTTTATATACTTTTTTCTTAAAACATATGAGAATTTACACCCTGATTTTTTTAGACTACTAAAAAACATCTTGTATACATTGTAAACAGAGAAGAAATAATTTTATTGATTTTGTAGTTAAGTTCTCCTCAACCAACTAAAAATGTATAGTAATAAACAATTTTAATCTAATGGTTATTGCGATTACACACTTTTTTTAAATTAATCTACCAACAAAACATAATTTATAGTGCTCTAACTTAAATATATAACAATAAACAATACATATGCAAACTCATGTTTCATAAATGATGTAAAGAATTTAGTTTTAAATAATTATATATTATAGAGCAAAACATATTTTCTATGTGTATAGTAATAATTTTTTTATTTTCTTATTTTTTGTACTGTTAACCATTTTACAAGGTAAATATAATAATAATTTGTACAGTTACTGTTATGTATGTTTTAACAAATAAAAATACCATATTTTTTTATCTAAAAAAATAATTTCTTTTATTAGTACCTTTACATTTACAATATAATATATTTAGTCTTACAATTAACTTTTTTGGTATATCTTAACAAGTATTAGTAATTACAGCAAAAAAATATTTGATATGTCTTAACATTCTAAATCAATAACTGTATTAACAGGACAATGTATTATCTTGACAATGTTTTACTTTGCAACTTATTACAAATTACAATCATACATTTTCAAAAATAAAAAAAAAATTGCCACCTAACATAAAAGGCCAATCTACTCAATTCAACATGAAGGTGAAATTCAATATTATTTACTAATATCACTTGGTATCAGATGGTAACCACTTGAAATCACAATGATTTTCCAAAACAATCCTGATAAAATAATGATTACTTCTGCTATAGATAATTAACCAACAAAATTTGTTATTACTTGTATAAACAGAGAAACACACACAAGTTGAGCAAAAAAAACAACATTTTTACTGATATTTTGTAAAACTTGGCACTAACTGATACACCTCTTTAGACCGTAATTCTTACAATACAATATCTTTATTTTGACCTAAGGAAAGAGGTCACCAATATCACAGTATCCAGTAAAAAGCTGATACTTTTTTAAGTATATTTTCACATACTAACAGCAGCTCTTACTATAGGCACTTGTTCTGGGTCTATTATGTCATCATCTCCTTATAAAAACAACCAGAAAGTTAATAAAAGAAAGATGAAAATATCTAAACACTACCTGAGAGTAACCCATCGCTTTCTGAGTCACGCTTCTTCTTCCTCATATTACGGTATTTAACTCTGGCTTTTTCTAACAAACTAACTTCACAACTGTCTCTTCTCCTTTTACTTGGATCCCTGTACATTAGGAAATTGTCAGTCACCCAAAACATCAACATCTAAAAGTTATCTCGACATTATTTTATCACAAACATAAAAATTGTCCTTACATTTATAAAAAATGGAATAATTAACATAACAAATGCTAGTTCAATCTTGGGGTTATCTATGGGACTTAATATAAAGTCTTTAACGTTCTCCCAAAAATCTAACTGCATAAATAAAGTTATAGATACTTTTACAATGACCATCAAACCAACATATAAGCAACACTGAGCTAACCAAGCATTAACATTAGGAGGTTTTCCATATTCTCCAAAATTGATAGCTTCCCAGCCTTTCCTATGGGCTAAGAACTGACAAGTTCTTATCCCAATAAAAATTATCAAAAGCCCCATTGAAGAGTCTACAACAAAAAACCATTAGTATTGACTGATAAGATGTGTAAATACTACTTTAACTAAAAAAATACCTAATAGAAAGTTAATCAAATACCAAGTACATGGGTCCCCTTGATATTGTCCTGCTAACCATACGTTAGCTAAATGTATAGCCATGGCCCCCATGCCCTGTTTAGACGTATCGTAGAACCATATTTGCCAAGATCTTCTTCGAATACGAGGTTCACAAAATCTAAAAATAAAACTGGTTAGCCTCAAACCTCTTGAGATTTACCTTGTGACCTTACCTCTTTGCAATGAGACATGTAAAAGCTAAACAAGCTAAAAGAACTTGTAGAAACCAGCCGAACATATCTGTCAAGGCATCTTTGTCGCAGTGCAGACCCCCTTTATACTTTAGAGCAGTCCCTGCTTGACCTATGGACGTAGAATTCATTGTTTAGATGTTTGGTTTTATAAGTAAATATTCTTTAGAATATATTCACATAGGTCCAAGCATTATCGCACTGTTTTCCGACCTACATTTACCACTGGAAATTTGTAAGCACAACAAATAATAAATCAAAAAATTATAGAACTTATTCACTAACTAAAAATTTCATTTTTTTGACATTGACAGGTGATTGATAACATATGGGAAATGCCGACAACCCAAAATTCACAAATATAGGCAAGATAGCAAGATCAAGGCAAGATCCATGCAAAGATGCAAGATGCAACATCATTAAATTTATGTGTAATGTATAACTAGGGGTGCCAATAAATATAGGAGAAAACTAGAAAACGTCATTAGTGTCATTCCTGTCATTCTCCTCACGACAAGTATATGGCCGCTCAGACTAGGACAGCATTGTTTTGTCTAACTATTATCTAACTTCACAGTTTTAAATTGACAGATTTCAGTTTCAGAGACAACTTCAGATTTGTTCTAGAACAAATTCGAAAATATTCGACGCCATTTTAATTCATTCCGTTTTAGTTTCGTTTTGGAAGTTCATTAAATTTATGTCGTAATGTATAACTATAAAGCGTAATAAAGTATATAAAATATATATTACAAGAAAATCCTGGAGAAAACGACGTTTCTGCAGTAGTAGGTATGTCCCATGTATATGAAAAATAGGTCGTAAATAAACACTGTTTTTTTACATTTTTTTAGATGCAAAGAAAATAGTGTTATAATATCTTTGATCAGCGATTTTTCACAAGAAAATGGAAGCAATTTACAGCAAGGTAAGATCATTTTTTAACTATAGCCAACATTAGTTATCTCCAGTATGTGCGATTTATTGTCAATAATGCAATAAATCGGACTGATAATCTGATTATGTTATCCGACTAAAGTCTCTTTGCTTCTTTTTGATTTATAAGCCAGGCCTCTTTGGGAATAATGGACGCTTTTTAACAGTATATTTATATTTTATACCTATTGATATTTTTACATTGTTAATTTTAGTATAAAAAAATTGTTTTTCTGTTTTCAGGTTTTTGTATAAGGCTCCCGTTTTCATGTGTTCCTGTGTCCCGATTTCTGTCCTTGAAGTCTGCGAATACGTGTGTTTATTTACAAATTATCTGTAGGGTGCATGCCACACCAAATACTTACGCTAAATTTACATATAATTAACTAATTGAGTACATTGAAACAATACAATCCTCTATATTTTTATATTTATTTAGTCACGTTGTTCCATTATTTCAAATAAATATATGTGAATAAATAATTTTTTGGTTTTATTTATGAAAAGTAAAAATACAAAATACATTTGAACTGAAAGAGGACCCGCCATTGATGAACTTAAAACGGAAATGAAAATTAAGCTCATCATGTCCTTATCATGTCAACCTGTCAATTGGAAAATTAGTTCTCCAGACGACAACGAAGGCTTTTCGGTGGCGTATCGTGTTTCCACGATTTAACACAGAGTTGACACTTCTCTAGTTAATTATTTTATGTGTATAACTAGTTGCCCTAATAAATATATGAGAAAAATCCAAGAAAACCTCGAAGACTATCGATAGTCCCCCACCATCGATAATTATCGATAGTCGGTTCACAGCTCTGTGGTTCTACAGTAGTAGTTATCTTAGGGTGCAGCCACACCAAATACATTTAAATTTACATATATACTGCGGCCTCCCCCATAAGAGCAATGAGAGAATTTTTGTCCCAGGATTGAAAGGACAGAAGATCGGAGTTTGACGCAAGTCCATCACTTGTTCAGTAGCTGGATGTAATGCACATGCGCCGAAATGCTACTTTTCTATTGGCCAGAATGGTGTCGAGATGGGTTATCGATTTATTTTTTTGGACGCGTCGTCGGCGTGGATTTTGTTTTTCCAGCAGTTTGAACTTGGGCAGTCGCCATTAGTGTTTTTCTCTAACTTTCTGTGTTTTCCTCTAACTTTTCTGTGTTTTGGACTTGGGCAGTCGCCATTAGTGTTTTCTCTAACTTTCTGTGTTTTCTAACTTTCTGTGTTTTCCACGTGTACTGTGTTTTCGTTTGTATTTTAATCTTTGTGCGTTTATTGACAATTTTGTGATTTAGTTTTAAAGACTTTTTCCTGTAGTTTAATTAATAGAACAATGGGAATGGGCTACTGCTTTTGTGTGTGGTAGAAGCCAACTAACAAAATTAATAATAGAAATTTTTCTCGATGTTCGTTTGTATCATGAAAGCAAAAATCAGAAATAAAAGGGATGTTAATATAAGACAAAAATATACAAGAAACTAATTTTATTCAAAAAATCAATAATTGTTAAAAGCATTATATTTGAGTCTTACTATTTTAAAATAAAAAAGACATTATAATGTAAAGACTAAAATAGAGACTACATAAGGCTAATTATAATGCTTACACAGTTACACACAGACTGTCTTATTGTAAATTATTATTGTTTTTTTTTTTCATAATATAAAGAGTATTGTTTACAATGCAACAATGTAATAATTATATTTTTTGTATCTAGCTTGATTTATGTATAAACTTAATATGTACATACTTTTAGTTATATTTGTTTAATAAAAAATATGTTAATAATAAAGAATTACTTTTGTTTCATTTTAAACCAGGACTGATGTTGATTATTGATCATAAATACATGGGCAGTAAAAGAAACAATAGACAGTAAAAAATGTACTGTTATACTTTGTTTTGCTGCAATTTTTAAGTCGAGTGAAATAGATATGCAATTTGTAATACTAAGTTCTTAAGACAGTTCCTTAATTGAGGTTTTACTAAATTATTTTTTGAATTTTAAAAAAAGTGAAATAGATATGCAATTTGTACTACGAAGTTTTTAAGACAATTTCTTAATAATTGTGGTTTTACTAAATTATTTTTTGAATTTAAAAAAAAAATATCGTACCTGTCACTTTTTTTCATTCGTTTTATTTAATAATAATTGTCTAACACAACAAAGTCTACTTAGAACGATATGATATAAATATAAATGAGTTCATTAAAAAATGGTCTGATTAAAATTAGTACCTAAATAAGCAAAAATTATCCCCTCATAAAACAAGAAATTAAGGAGTTCAGTAAAAGGATTGCAACTATATATTTTATTCAGTAAATTTTCATAATAGTAAGTATAAAAGCACAATCTCTAAAACGACAATATGAATAATGTATATTAAGATTTAACTCGAGTTTCAGTGAAAAAACTATATTGATATTAAAATATTTTAATACCTTCAGAATACTAATTACATACCATAAAATAGGAGTTTTTACGATGCGGGAAGCCTATCTAGAAAAAGAATTTTAGAAATCAGCAATGGGATCTGTAAGCTCTGTAGCAAGAAATTTCCTATCGAGCCTATGCTATTTGTATACGATTGATGAGTCACTAGACAGGGAAATGTTTACAGAATCGCACTGCAGATACCTATTACGCTACTAGGAGCCCCCCATTGTGAGACAGATATAAAATAATTTTTATATACCTATTCCATAGCCTATTTTTTTAAATGTCTGTAATATTTATAATAAACTTATTTTAACGAGTAGAAGTATTGCACCAGCATCAAAATTAACACTACTTGTAAAAAACTGTTGCTCCTTGAGTTTGTAATAGATATAAACAAAATAAACATTCGAAAATAACTAAATCGAAGATATCTGAAAACTTTTGGTTGAAAAAGTGTTTTGCCATAACATGTTGGATACGATTAAAATATCTCAATTGATAAATATGCGCATAATGTTACATTATCAAACTTATTTGATTTCAGAATATTTAACAAAAAACTTCCAATTTTTCGAAAGATTTAATTCAATTATTAGAACGTCTTTAACCTCAACTTAAAATAAATAAAACCAAAACAAGAAAACATATCATATGATTTGGAACTGTCCAATCAAAGTGCTTACAGATCGAGCAAGCGCAGAAAACCTCCTCCCGAACAAGGATAGACTTATGTAGGAAATGCATTGACATTCTATAGCCATCCTTCAACATCGGGACAGGAATTTAAGCGGTACTCTCCGTATATTTTATTAAAACGTATTTGAGCCACACTATCCTAAAAACGGCGTATCGGCTTAACGGCGTAATGACCTTGAATAGATTTCCAGCAATTCTATTGGCTGAAACATTCATCTGTCAGAAATTTTATCTGTCAAATTCATCTGTCAAAAATGTCAGCCAATAAAATTACTGGAAATCGATTCAAGGTCGTTACGCCGTTACGCCGATACGCCGTTTTTAGAATAGTGTGGCTGCACCCTTAGACAAGGAAAGAGAGGGGACGGCTAACACGACTATTCTCCCGTGATCGGTTAGTGAGGGCAAAATTCGATCGGCGGCCATACTTTGGTGACAAGATTTCGAGGTGACACCGTGAGAATTTTTATGTTTTTTGTGACAACTGTTTTGTTTTAAATTTATAAACTGTATTGTTTAGTATGGTGAGATATTCAGCGTATGGCTGCAAAGGCCGAAGCGAGAAAAAAGTGGCTGGAATTACATTTCACAGGTAAAAATCGATATACAACTTTTGTTATGTGGTCATAAAATGTACATTTTTTCATTATAGCAGTAAAAATATGTAAAATGCTTTTAATATGTTTTGTACCACATCCAAACCAAACTATTTTTAATAATTCCAAGTAGTATTTTCAATATCCTTTATTATAATTAATGTTTGAAACTATAAAACAATGCTACTCAGCATGGATTTCTCCAGTGGCGTAGGGAATTATAATCAGAGAAATACAATTTTTGCAATAAACTTTTTTTATAAATTTTGCATGTAAAAAAAGTTTGTATTTATCAAATATGAAAAATAATTGTAAGCTATAAAAGAAATAAAAATTCTAGTGATAAAAAATCTATATGTATAGTTGTTATATAAAACTTAAATTTACCTGCCAAGATTTGCTGGGGTTGGACAAACTTGTGGTGGGCTACTTGTTACTACATATATTTTTTTAAATATTCTTTCAAAAAATTTGCTAATTTAGGTGTATAATAACAGTCTCAGTGAGTAATTAATAAAAATTTAAAAATAAATACAATAACACAAAGCTTCTAGAATTGTTTATTTTTTTGTGGAAAATTAGGATATTTTTATGATTGAAGGTAACAAATATTAAAAATTACATTATTTATTGAATCCGTACGCAAGTGTGAAGGGGAATGGCTAAATCCATTATTATACCGTATGGTTGAAAAAAAACGACGTCCAGTTGGCTTGTAAATGACGATCGACGACATTCCCCATATAATTTTACATATAAAATGACAGCGATCTTCATTTCATAGCTATCGCTGACGCCGTCTTTTTTCGATGTCGTTTTGTATAGTTTTTATGTCATTTTATATGTAGAATTATATGGGGAATATCATCGATCGTAATTTACAAGCCAACTGAACGTCGTTTTTTTTTCGATTATACGGTATAATAATGAATCTAGTCAATTCCCTTCACACTTGCTTATGGATTCAATGAATAATGTAATTTTTAATATTCATTTGTGAAATTGTCATTTCCAAACAAACAAGACGCAGTTTTTTTCGATCATACAGTATATATGTATATACACGCTTAAAACGTATGTTATTACATTATTTTTTATTTAATTATACATTATACACACGTTAATAAATAAATAATTGTCTTGATAATCAGTCCACTGTGACTGTTAAATAAATTTTGCATTATCGACTTAGATATTCTATTATTATAAAGGTGAGACTATAAAATACAAAATTGTATATGCATTACTCAAAAATGAACGATATATTAATTTACTTTTTAATAAATATTTTGTACCCTCTAGGTACAAGCCAATTTCTGATGCTACGCCATTGGAGAATTTCGCATGGTGACAACTTGCCTCACTTTCAGCTGCCGTGTTACCTGTCCCCTCTCTTTCCTTGTCTAAGGTAATTATTGATATTGGTGCTAAATTTCGTTAGTATTTTCTGTGGTGCTAAACATGTGCTAAAGAATAGAGATGGGAAGTACGTGTGCGTGTCGTACAAAATGTACGATACATTTCAATGTACGGTGTACGTGTCGTACAATTTTATTGTACGAAACGTACAATCCACCATTATCATTGTACTTTGCATCTTTGCAAGCACTGGACCCGGGACCGGGGACCGAACACACAACATACTACGGGAACTGTTGCTAGGTTAAATTGCTTTTAAAACAAAAAGTGCCGTTATATTTTTCAGTTTTCGTTGTCAGCCGCGGAAGTTTCAGTGATTTTAGTGCTGTCGGATATTTTTATTTGTGAAATAGAAATATTGCGTTTGGATTGCAAAACTAAAAGTGGAAGTTTTATTGCAATGTAAGTAAACGTTTGTCCATTTTATATTTTACTTTTTTTATACCTACGACAAATATACATATATTGAAATTTTATAATTCGTTTTACTTAAAAAATGTTAGAAAACAATTTGTAATCCTGTAATTGACATAATTGTTATGTAATATATTCCATTTAAATGTAATATATTACTTTACAATTAAAAAATGTAAATTTAAAAAATATGTACAGGCATTAATTGAAATTTTTTGAGTGCGAACAAACACGAGAGGCGCTTTATTATTTACTTTCATTTCTTAACATGATAGACGAAGTTCTAAAGGGGGATGTTTTGTGATATAGTCGCAAAATATCACAAACACACCACAAAGTAAATTAAAATTATTTTATTTTAATTTACTTTTCCGCCCGTTCATATGACAATATGCATTTGTGGCCGTTGCGGGTAGCAAATTAGGCACACTAAATAATTAAGGCCCGTATTTATAGTTGCATCTCGAGGAGACGCCAAGACGGTCTTGGGCTCTCGAGAGCGGAATCCACAGAATACACGAGCAAACGTCATTTTGGAGATTGCGATTTTCATTTTGGAGATTGTCATTTTGGATAGTTTATGTGATCTGTAGATAGTTTCTTAACCGCACTTTTTTTGTAAACAAAGTAAATCCCTTGTAAATCCGTTTTGCGTTTTGTCTGATTAAACAGTTTTGAATATGTTAGAAGAGTTTGAGGATATTTTGGACCACGTGGAAGAAGAAAATCTTCTTCGAGTTCCAAAAAGATATATACGGGATGCAGGAAATCCAAAAGAAATGTTTAGCGAGGGGGGATTTATGCCGATATAGGTTTAACAAGGCTACAATTACAGAAACTATTTTACTTCTTATAAATCGAAGACTTGCAAAAACCTACCAATCGTGGTTTACTCATTCTTCCCGTTATTCAATTACTAATTTGTTTACAGTTTTATGCGACTTGTAATTTTCAGATGGTAAATGGAGACTTGTGTGGTGTTAGCCAACCTACAATAAGCCAGATAGTCAAGAATAATGCAATAATGTGGAAGTATTTC